AAGTACAAAATGTGTGCGACATATCGTTCCACAAAACGCAAAAATTCTACGGAGTATAACGGTTAACATAACGAACTATAACGTGGTCTGTTGCCACAGGTTTGTTGGAAGTACAAATAACATGTAACGTTACATTCAAGGAGCTAATCTGTTGCCTTACCTCGAAAGAACTGATTCTTTTTCAGCACCACGCCGCCATGGTAGTCGCCATTTTCGTTTTCAGTCTCCAAACTCCGCCCGCCAGCGAATACCATTTTTCTCCCTCAAACATCAAAAGAATGGCACACATCCGACCCGGAAACGCCCAGACGATATACTGCACACTTGAGACTGATAATTTGCGGACCAAAAGCCGGAAATTTACCCCAAAAGTTGGAGAGAATTCACGCACAACACGCCGCAAAGCGTGGCCACACTATCTTGCTGCCTGCAGCTGGTCGAATGGACCGTACCACGTGTGATAATTGCATAGGGGTGCCAACTAGATTAATCATTATTGCTTTTGATAATTAACCATCACCATTCCGCCGCCAATCAAAAGTAATTATTCTCGTCGCCCAATTTTGGACTTATTTTCTGTGCCAAACCCAACGATCACGATACCTTCTGCCACAGTGTTTATATCCCAAACTTGTGTACATCAACAAGATCTTTATTTCATCAAGCCACATACATTTTCTGAGGTTTAAGAAAAAGTAACAACAGGGTTTACGGAAAAAACTGGGTGCCTGCCAGGCCAGGCTACCACAATACCAGGTATAATTTCTAGCTTAACAAGGTTTATAATGTAAAATGCCAATACCAATGTCATTCACGCGCCATTATAATTCCATATTGTATGTCTGTAATGTTGGTATGGAAATAAAGAATTGGAATTGGAAAAAAAATTGAAAACGTAGGAATCTTGTTTTTTTTTTTGCCCTATCGCATTTTGGAGTCTGCTGAGGATGTCATCCATAAAATTTACTTGCTGTGGCCTTAATATAGCATATAGCGCCATCTACCTTCAGAAAAGAAAAAGACAATGCATGTCACAATGCTTTGTAGGCCAATATATTCAACCACATTTTATTGTTTCCACAAGTTAGCATATAGCATCTCTATCATAAATGCAATGAGAAAGTATCTGGCCAACGAAGCGTCTTTCATTCCCAGATTTCGGCATTTCGCGAGTTGGGAAACGCGATGGGCTCTTATGGGGTTTTAGGTCTCCTTCTTTCATGCGCTTAAACTTGACTCTGAGACTTTGCCTTGTTACTTACCTGCCAGGATTCAATCAAGGATGAACAAATAAGTTCTTAAGTTGGTCGACCTGAGAAACAAAGGGCCATATGGGCGCGTACGAGGTGGCTAGATATTGGCTATTTTCGCTCTGTTTTCGACACTTCTGTTTCACTTCATCTTCAGGTGTACCATTCATATGTACAGAATCAGCCCTTGGATCGTTTAGCAGTAACAAATACAGACTTAATTCACAGAACACTTTGTTCAAAAACAGTAAAACGTTAGAAGTTCAAGCTTACATTTGTTGGACAAGCTACAATAACTTCAATATTCAGTCTCTCTCCGTCAGTGTTGGCAGAGCCACGTGCACTATGAAATTGCCTTGAATGTCGAGGACTCTGTTTCAACCGACCGTTTCTGGCCTCAGGGAGAGTAGACGAACTGTTGTTTCATTCTATCTAGTGCGCACATGTACAGTCTCATGTACAGTCTACTTTGATGTGTGGAAAGAAGCTGATTTGTTGCTTGCTGGAGTAAAGAAAAGTACGTAAGCCCGGGGACATTATCATCATCCTCTTCCTTCACCTTCACCTTCACCTTGTCCCTTCCTCTTCTGGAGGGTCGGGGACTGTGGTAGCATACAGCACAAGCTTCCTCCATCCATCCCTGTCCCTGGCCATCTGTGTGCAGTCAGCCAGGGACCTGCCTGTCCAATCCCTGATGTCGTCAACCCATCTCCTTCGCGGGTTCCATCCTCTTCCACCGCCCTTTAATGAGCTGTGGTTATATTTCAGAGAATCGTTTCATCAGGAAGGATGTACGCCATACACGTATGTCTTGCGGCGGTTCGGGAACTCTGGTAACAAGACTCCAACCCTTTCTACCAGACGAGTGAAGTCATTGATATCATGATTAATAGTATGACGCTGGTGTCTTCTGCGTGAAACCGTTTTTTTTAATCCGGACCCGTGTACATTTTGTATAATCCATGCGTATTCAGAACCGTGCCAGGGGCAAAGCTACGTTCTTGGACACACGGAGACTCTCCAGAACCGTGCCTTTTTCTAACCCTAACCCTAACCCTAACCCATTAGTCATAGAACTAGATGGACAGGTCTGGATACGGTACAGGCCCTTTTAGCAGGATACTTGACACCCAGTCAAGCCCTCTCTCCCACTCTCTCTCTCTCTCTCTCTCTCTCTCTGTCTCTCTCTGTCTCTCTCTGTCTCTCTCTGTCTCTCTGTCTCTCTCTCTCTCTCTCTCTCTCTCTACTATATATATATATATATATATATATATATGGGTAAGAATTCCGAACTGCACCTCCGTGCACTACGTGTGTAGAAGCGGTCACATTTCACCTGTACCGACGCACAGACGGCGGGGTATGCGCTTAAGTACGTGGTTAATGAGGGACAGCAGATGGGAGCTGCATTGTGTTACCGCTTCTACACACGTTGTGCAAAATTTAAAAAGCGGATATTCATCCTCTATCACACCCCCTGTTCTGAAAAGGGCCGTATCTCGCTAAGGCCACAGCAAGTAATGTTGGTCGACCTGAGAAAAATAGAGCCGTACGCGGCGGCTAAACATGTTTTTTTTCGCTCTGTTTTCAACACTTCTGTTTCACTTCATCTTCAACTGTACCATGCATTCGTACTTTACAATACAGACTCGGCCCGCGGGTCGTTTGCCAGGAACAAATACTAATTTAATTCACTAAAAGTATTACCTTTGTTCAGAAACAGAAACTGCTGATATAGAGACAGGGACTGCCAGGGAAGCTAGACAGTCACTCTGAAAATATGACGATCTTTCACCGTAACGTCTGCTTGGAAAAACAGTAAAATCTTGTTCTACCTGGCCATTGCAAACGTATTTCCCCGGGGTAAGCTCTGCATGGGAGAATGTCTGCGCACAGTCTCATACTTTGATGTACGTAAATAGCCTGATTTGTTGCTTGATGAGGTAATTATGCCGGGGATCTTACCATCACGATCTTTCATCGTCTCTAAATGTCATAAGCCAAAGCCTGTGCATGTGATTATGTTTCAGATCATTTCACCATGGTTACTCTAATCCATTTATAAACGCTCGGATAGAAACAAAAAAATAATTCTTATGTTCTAGGTTCAGGGATTTTTTGTTTTGAGCTGACGAGTGCATTCACTCATATCATGATTGATAAATTATAAATATTTACCACTCTGGCGTCTTTCACGTGAAACTGGTTGTTGCATCAAGAACCGTGCTTTATCCCTAACCGTGCGTGCTTTATCCAGAACTGTGCTTTATCTGGAACCGTGTATAGTCCACGCGTATTCAGAACCGAACCCATTCAGGTAAAGAACTAGATAGACACGGCTCTGGATACAGTACTGGCCCTTCTAGCAGGGTACTTGACGTCCAGTTGAAGGTCTAAGATTAAGCGCTTAACAAGTTCCAAGAACAGTTCAACCAGATTTGGCTGGAAGAAACTCAGCATTCTTTACATGCGGCACAGCCAAATTATGTCAGCTTCATATGAAAATTTTGTTGTTTTTTCTGAGATTTCCAAAGATTTTAATCTAAGCATGGAGATCAGCTAGAGTTTAAAATGTTGCTCATCTTCAATTCTTTCTATATCGATGCGGTTCTTGTTCAGCCGTTACGAAACTTCCGTAGCCATGGCAACGAAGGACACTTTGCTACACCTCTCATATCGCGCTTCCTGTCCGTCTAAAAATGTGCTGCCTCGTGGCAACCTGCGTCAACACGCGGGTCTTGGTCTTTGTGCTTGGCAAATTGCTCGTGCCAGAGTTATTAGATACCTTGATTGCACATTCTTGCTCAAGGCGTCAAAATGACTTATATACAGTTTCGTATGTGACTACCTGCTGACTATAATCTAAGATGTTTGGCTGGACTTCTTTTTCTGAAACATTCACTGTTAAAAACGAAAGATCTCACTTTCCTTTAATACATGCCTGTGAATACTGTGATGTTAAGAGGGGAATAGTTTTCGTTGTGTACATCTGTAAACGATGAGCATTTTGGATGGAATTTGGAGGCTTCTTCAAACATGTCCCTTCTCTCATGCATGTTATGTTTCTGGTGTTATTTTAGATTGTCTATGATAGTAATATAGTTCCTCGTCCATAGGTGCCGGCATTTTGCCCTGCTCGGTCTGGACGTCATCAAATCGTGAAACCTTAAGACTTAACCATTGCGTTTCTCATTGATCAAAGCATTGCGAATCCTGCTCCACCCGTCGTAGGCGGAGCTATATATGTCGTCATACTCAGTGAGCTCAAGAAAACAAATCTGATTGGACGACAATTTAGCCACGACTGGCTCCTTTTTTGGTGTTCGTCTCTGGGAGGCGAGCAAGCATCGATTGACGTAAATATAGAAGCCCAGACCTCAGCAACAGGTTGGAGTTGCCAGACGGAGTGCGTGTATGCGGGCGTGTGTTGTTTCTAATTCGGACCGATTCTAGAAAAAAGGCACAGTTAGTTTTTGAGGCCGTAGGTGCAGTGGGTTTTTAATCCACTGTGTCTAGGGTACGGTATTGGAAGACGGAGCCCATCCCTCTCCTTCCACCGCCTTTTACCTCCGCCGACAGAAGTCAGGTACCACTTTTACACCTGGCTGGAGTGAGGAAAGTCGTTTAAAGTGCCTTTCGTAAAGGACACAGTGTCTAGCCAGGGGTGCCAGGAATCGAACTCGCGACCTCTCAATCTTGTGTCCGCTAGCCCAGCCACTCGATCACTCGACGACACACAAACTACGGAAGATGGAAGGGAACAGCAGCGACATCACATGGGGAACCCCGGACGACAGGCTCTGGGTGGTGAGGTTGAAAGCTTCCTTTATGTCGATCGAGTGCATCCTGGCCATGTTCGGTAATATCGTAGTCATGCTCTTCACGACGACCAGGAACACATTCCCGCGGAACGCCAGCGTCTACATCTTCGCCATGGCCGTGGCGGATTTTGTGAAAGGCGTGGGGTACGCGTCCCATGTGGGGCCGTTTCTGGCTCAAGACATGGCCGGGGCTGAGGCGTGGTGCCAAGGGTGGGGGTACGTGCAGTCCGCACTTCGTTTCAGCTCGATCCACCTGGTCACCTGCGTCTCCGTGGACAGGTTTGTTTGTTTATTATTATTTGCACATATATATAAAAACAATACAATTGTAATATTACAAACGAAAGATATATTCACCAATCAGATTTGGCGAAATAGGTAATTAAGGTAAATGTATAAAAAAAGGTAATTCAGGTCTGTCTAGATAATGAGAGTAGGTGGTCTGTATACTATATGGGACTAGGATGACTGAAATATGTTTTATGTGCACTCTTAAACATATCAGGAATTAAGGTATTGATTGAATATTTGACTGAAGACTGTCCCATATTATTATATAGGTGTCTGGCCATCTGGTGGACCGGGTACTCAGAGGCGATGTCGTTCGCAAAGTCCGTCGTGGTGACCTTCGTGGTGTCGTCCGTCGGTGTCTTGGCGACAGTCGTGCCGGTTACGCAGGGGTGGGCGACGGTCCAGTTTCAGCTGCGCGAGGGCAGCTGCACCTTCGAGATCCCGCAAAACGAACTTCTCTGGAAAGCAGCTGTTCCGGGTTTCTTCGTCCTGGTCGTGGTCCCGCTGGTGATCGCCGTCGTCGCGAACGTCCTCATCTGCATCGCGATGGCTCTCAGCGGAGTCGGCACCCCCGCCATCCGCGCGCGTCCGTACGTGCTCGACCAGCCCAGACACCAGGATCAGATCGAGCTGGACGAGGTCAAGTCGGCTCCTCCTCCGCTCCCGCCGGGGTGCTCTGCCTGGCCCGACGACGAGATCCAGGAAGCTCCCCTGGACGACGATCCTCCGGCCGACAAGGGCTCCACAGAAGAGACCCACGGCGCGACGGAGACCGGCAACGACCCGATGGACCCCGCCCAGCCCGGACCGCAGCAGGGCGACGCCACGGCCCGGCATCCAGGCTGCTGCAGATGCAGGCGGGTCGGTTCCAAGTCGCTGATCGCCATAGCCGTGGTCGCGTTCGGGCTCCAGATCCTGATGCACGCGGTGAAGATCTACGACGCCGCCGTGACGCCCCTGGACGACGACGTGTACTTCGCGCTGGTGTGGCTGTCCAACTGCCACGCCTTCACCAACGCCATCCTGTACAGCGTGGTCCACAAGACCTTCCATCTGGCCGTGGTCATGGACTTCGTCGCCCTTTTCCGGTTCCTGCTCCGCTGCTGCGGTGCGCAGGTGGAGCCGGAGGTCCAGCCCTCCACCAGCATCTGAGGACCAGCAACACTCCGATGGTAAGTGATCTCACAAGTCGTACAATTGTGATGTCTGTTCTCTACATTTCGTCCATGGTTTGAATCCTGGCCGTCATTGTTCCCCTCGCCTCTTCCTGGCTGGTTGTCGGTATGTCCCTTCCCATCTCTGTACGTAAGGTTCTGCTCTAATGTCCTCAAGTTATTGTTTGGCCACCTTAGCCTCTACCAGGCTTCATAAGCGGCTAGAAAGAGTAGAGATTGCGCGGCCAAATATAAAGATAACATATACCATTTGAGATGGTCCGACAATGGAGTATATTCCGGGAGCGAACCCAGCATGTTATTTGTTTATTTGGCCAATTTCTACTCTTTCCAGACGCTTCTAAAGCCATCTCTCTCTTTAGCACACGTACTTGTTTGGCACAGTTTGTAAAGTCGCATATTTTTTGCCACCGCTTTCAGAACCCCATCTATGAACTCCTATCCGGGGGTTTACGTAGTACGGCGGCTCGGAGAAGATACATGTAGCTGTAGCCCGAGGCGATGGTTCCGACGTCGCGAGAGAAGAAGAATGAAAAAAAAACCTGCTCAGATTTGAAACGACATTCGCGATGAACACTATGTAAGCCGGTGCCACGCAGTCGACGAGCATCGGCCGTATTTCTTGATCATCGGAAGGTCGCAAAATTTGAAAAATGTATTGGTTGACGGTGAGCGCAGTATTCTGTTGTATGGCGAGGGTAAAATGAAAACACAATCTGTTTATCTACATTCATCGTGAAACACCGCAAGACATGCTATAAGATGTTCATATGTATATAGACACTGTACTGTACTGTACTGTACTGTCACCCTCCAATCAGAGGTTCAGGCTTCAGTTATATTTTTTGTACGTACTTTTAGGTGTTTTCTATCGGGCTTTTTTGTACTAGTAATTTTTTTTTTGCCAGCCAGACTTCGGGTGGCGCATTGCATCCTGCACTGCCAATAATACTGTCTTGCCGATTTTATTCTGTTGATCCAGTAGCCATCAAAAGATTTGCTTGGAGATTACAGTTCTGGGTTCTCGAGATTATAATTTGTCCTACATTATGATGTGTGGTGGTAGCATTTGTGCTGCAAGGCCAGAAGACTACATGTAGCTGTTTTCCATTCACGTCATTATGATTAGAATTTGGACACCCAGCGACAATGTGGGCGGAAAAGTGGAGCACTGTAGCAGCGTATTGGTGTATTTAACAGACATACGTATATTGATATTGAATATTAATATCTGGATTATGCTTCACTATTTTATGACCTGCTTTGTATATTTTACATATAGTATTGTTGATTTTGTAATGCACCGTACTGTTCTTTTTGTGTGTGGGCGAGTAACATGGAAATGTGCGTGCCGGTTTTGCCGGTTGTTGGTGTATTTAACAGACATATATATAATGATCAATTATATTCTTTCATTGCATATAATATCTTGATTATGCTTCACTATTTTATGACCTGCTTTGTACAATTTTACATATAGTATTGTTGCTTTTGTAATGCACTGTACTGTAACAGTTATTTTTTGTGGGGCGAGTAACATGGAGAGGTGCGAATGTATTGGTTTTGCCCTAGCTCCATTTCACGTTGTGGTAAACTCACGCACACTGTAATTTAACAAGGCGCAAGTGGCGTCATTTGAAAAGCCTGTATTGACTGTATTGAAGTACTGTCGGTGCTAGAATGTGCCTGTATATGTGGAAACCCAATTGGTCACCACTTGTATCTTAATAGTTTACTGCATGGAAGTATTCTTAATGCTAGCAGCTAGAATACTAGTATATCTTTTAATGTTCTGTGCATGTAGTAAACCCTCATCGGCCACGATGTGTATTTTCATTGTTAGCTTTGGATATGTAATGGCGTACAGATTGAGTACTTGTATTAAGCTGCTGAAGTAATTGGTAAAGAGAATTGTTGGCTAAACGTGCTTACTGTATAAAAGTGAACAGCTCAACAACAAATGATACAAAAAAATTAAGAGAATGTATTTTTTGATAAACAGAGTGAACAGTGCTGATTTAACCAACGTAGTTCGGATTGCACGACACTTACAGGCATATCCGTACATGGAGAAAACTATCTATCTTTGGCCTAACCCTGGGAAACAAATGTTGTTTTTCCGACTTCGGTCCTGAAAAAAAGGAGATCGGTAGGCAGTATCAGTCTCTCCCTTTGCCTGTGGGGAAATGACAAATATTTTTACCTAATGAAAATTTTCTAATGTTTGGAATAACCTTTCAGAGCGTTTGAAATTCAGATGTCTGGTACAAAATTTTTGGCATTGCCAGCAGTCGACCCTAAACAAAGCTAGAGCCGACGAGGCTCTGATGGGGTCGCTCAGGAAACCGGAAAGGCAACATTTTTCCCAGGCTCTATCATAAACTCTGTGAGTTACAAAATATCTGTATACAGAACAGACTGTTATACGTGTATGAATGTCGTAAAATAAATATTTCAAAATGTAAATACTTGGTCCCATAACTACTATTTTCCATTAAAAATTATACCTGTCCTTTGAAATAACACAAAATGGTTAAGGAAATTAACAACCAAAAATAAATAGTCCAATTAAGGTATTAACGGAATAATAAATAATTTTCCTTAAAAGAAAAGTAAAACAAAATTTCAATCAAAAGTCCGCACTAAATACCGCAACTGTCGTTACCACCAAAGTGTCATGACCAGAAGTCGGCTTTATAAAATGTACACATGATCACAGACATTACTTCTACATCTGCTATGGCCTCTTTCAATGTTGCTTTCCTATCATACATGTTTGTACCTTCCAACTAAAAAAACGCACCCAGTGCACAGACCACCGAGGAAAGCACCAATAGAACAGAATACATGTAAAAGACACTGGGCAAGATTGGCAGATTTACAAGAAGTTACAAGGAACAACTAAAGATCTACCAGTGGCATTTACATCTACGAAGTAACATAAGGCCATACATCGTTAGATTTTGCATGAAATTTGAAAAAAGAGGAGTTGGGCGAATGAAAACTTGTCAGAGCTTGTGTAGTCTGAAAATACGTGTCGACCTTGCTATTCGGCAGTCCATGTACCCGCGGGAGTTGCACATTGTGGCCGCGCGTGTGAATCATGCACGGTAGAGGTTCTTTCAGGATCCGCGACATTGAATTACCGGTGCCGCAGGTGGGCCTGCACAGCTTTATCTCGAGAAGAAACGTGTTTGTTTGGATTTGATGGGCAACCTGCGAATACGTAGGTGCATTCTCGTGACAATTGCTGTTGGGGACCGGTATATGCTAGTCTACTAGACTGTGCTGGCTATAGGGAGTCAGATCTGCAGATCTGAGAGCCAAGACATTAAATTAGTGTGGCCTGATAAGAACCGAAAGCTGAGTGGTTTTATCAAGGGTTCCTAACAAAAGACCATGTACCTGAGAGAAGTCTGGAATCACACTAGATACCAAGTCTGCATTTAACATTTTCTTATCCTAACTACCAGGAAGAGTATTTAAATTTAAGTAACCAAGAACATCATAATCACCAGTATCTGTGAACAAGTCTTTCCTGGCTCAACACTGATGTTCATAAACACTAGAATCAAAGTAGTAAGATCTAATGTCCACTAACACAATTCTGCCAGGTCATACATGTAATACTATACATGTATACAATCATGTATCTGCCACCCTGAATAAAATGCATCTACAGAAATATTCAATGCTACATGTGCATCCCCCATTATAATGCACTCCTGCACATGTATACCAGTGGGTGCTGATACTAGTATATGAAACTGGCAGATAAATGTTAATAAAGGTTAGTCAACAAATAATAAAACAGTGAAGACTGAAAGGAATTCAATTGATAAAAGATTGGAATGGAGACTATATCACTACATGAAAACTGAAAATCTCAGTAGATATGATAGGGCTCTGTATGAGTACACTGTACCTGTAAGGCCATACAGGCATAATTTTATGGATCCTCTGAAAATGCCTAAACTAGTGCGCGCGGGCGAATAAAAAAAATTCCAGCCCAAAATAAAAATTCTACTAAACCACAGGAATACAAAGCTGGTATTGCGGCAGTATATAGTGATGTACATGTATATGACAAGCCGGCTTTTTGTGGAATTTATGAATCGGCACTGTACGTATGTACTGAGTTCTTGAGCTGTGGAGCTTCGGTAGCCTGTGTGCCCGGCTCCGCTACCATGGACTACCCAGGCCTAGAGCCAGGTCAGAGCCTTGGAGGACAGGATCTTTTTTTTTTTTTGGACCTAGAACAGGTGAAAATCAATGTGCGCGTGGATGTCATCTATAAAATTAAGTTGGTGTGGCCTAACCTCAATTAACATCTATCCAGGTTACATAACATGTACATCATCCACCATTTGAAGAATGGTGTGTTTACCAATTGGCCATCATTGACCACCAGTCTCCAGGTTTACACTTGTTGGCCAGTGGTCATACTACCTTGCCTACCATAGGATCTGCTTGAAGATTGCATGTAAAAAAAAATGTTAATGTTCATGTTTGTACAGGTCTACATGTAGGCCTGTACACGTACCTAAAACTGTGTACATATACTTACACCTGTACCTAAAACTAATTGTACTAAGTAACAGTTGTAACACTACATGCTATAAGATCTGTACTCTGAGGTTGGAGTGGTCAGAACTGTGTCCTGTAGAGGTGTAACTGCTGGGCCTCCTGGTGTAAGGGTCTGTGAGGCTGATGTAAGTATAGCACAGGCTACAGAAAACACTGCAGATGGGAGAAAAAACAAAAACAAGCGGCCGTCAATAACTTCATCAACGTTCGTACGTCAGAGGTAATTGACTCTTAACCACAACCTGAGTGGCAATTACCTGGTCTAGCTATACACAAGCAAAGCCAACCAGGATCAGAAAATCTAATTCAGCTATGAAAATGAGAAGAGGGAGGATAATATATTAGATTGGGTCATCCTTGCTGCAACGTCACCAAGCTGAAAAAGTACAATGGAGGCCATTCAACCCCAGAGGAGGGCAGTTTAGGAGCTACTGAAACCAGTATTTTGAGTTAGGGAGTTGAGGAGGGTCCTGGCAAATTGAGGGCTTCTTTCCTATTCTATAAGCAAGGTACATGTAGACTGTAGACTGTGGCAAAATGAATAGTGGGAGAAGATTGCTTGCTTTTGACACCCACATTGACACTTTATTTAGAAGGTAAAGACACTTGTTGACAAATCTTACAATAACAACAACATACATCCATGTACAGCACACTTCATCACATATTTACACACAACATTGCGTTCAAAGAACCTCTTTACATGTGTGTATACATGTCATTAGCTTGGGTTGTGGTAGCCTGAAATGAGTGCTCGTGTTGATGTGATCTGTATGATCGTGACTGTGACAAGTCAATCTTGTCAGCTGAGTCTGAAAGGGACGGTCCTCAAAAACAGGCAACCATTGCGGCTGCCTCTATGTATCACTGTTTTTGTAAACACAACCAGGTCCCGAAATTGACTTTTCTTCTTATTGTCCCAGCACACCGTCCCAAAATTAAATTTCAATTGTCCCGAAGTGAGGCTGAACTGTCCCAACCTGTTTTTTGGGGGAAGCATTGTATGACTTCAACTTGAAGTCAACTTTATTTTGCTTATGTTCACTCTCAGGCACACTATAATTGCAGGACAGGAAATTCAGTCTGGGGGACTTTTCCAGATTCAAAAGCCGGGACGTGTGCCTGATAGACAAAAGAAGGGCTGACATTCTGATGTTGATTACTTTTCTATTGTCCCAAAAATGTCCCAAAGTGTCTTTTAGTTGTCCCAGCCTAAATTTTAGTGGTCGGTGGCCATTGGACCACCTTTAATTTCAAGCGCTGACGACGTTTCTGGAAAGTATGCTGATTAGAGTCGAGAGACCTCGAGTCCGATGTGTGGGCATCTGGACACACATGGGAGCAGCTGGAAGCCCAGGACCACACCAGATGGAGGGACCTAGCTAGTCTGTGGCTTATGCCCAAGGACAGGCAGCAGGGCTAGGTAAGTACTAGTAAGTATGCTGATTATGCTCAAAGCTTCAGGACATTAGCCAGTCAGTAGCTAGAAAAACTGCAACAACATTTAAGTCGATAAGCCACTAGGCTTCTTGAGTTGCCCCGCACATTATTTGTAATAGGTTTTCACATATTGCTGTCTTTAAGTGCAAACTGCAAATAAACAATAAAAAACCACCACCAGTCTAATTAATGCCAGCCAAAATCCAGCTATAATTTGTAATTCTTGTACATGCTTGATTAATAACTATCATATTTCAATTTTTTTATATTCCAATATTTTCATTCTTTACTAGACTAGTTAGTGATCGAGGAATCAAAAATTTGGAATCCAAAAGATTTGTACAATCTTATTTTCTCAAAATTCCCAGAGAAACGCTTAATGTTTCATTGAATATTACTTCTTAATATGCGTTATTACTTCATAGAAGTCTTAGATTATAACTTTTTAAAAATTAATTAGTTATTGAGTTACAAATCACCTCCTCTATGGTGTAGCAAGGAATGAACTATCCTCCCCGAGCTGATTTCTGGGCTTCGGTTATGGTGATGTAGGAATATGTAATACCAGATAAAGCACTGCAGCAAAAAAAACAAACAAAAGATGCACAATGTACAAGCAAGGAGGCTAGAAAAGGGATTTTAACCTCCTTCATATGAGGGAGATGAGTAGGAATATTAAGTAAAGACAGGGTTAAATGCAGGTGAGTCTGACTTGCTCTCTTATGTTTGTTAGGATTAGGTGAAAGAAGACACTCTGCCAGCAAGGCAAAATTTAATATTATAAATAATAATAATTAATACCCTTGCTCTTAACTGTGAGCCAATGTTTTTTGTCGAGTGCGCTAGGATTCTATTTGATTGTTAGTTCATAACAAGATTTGATACGAAAAATTTTCAGTTCCTATTAAAATGTTAGGTGGTGGTTATGCCAGCCATTTACAATGTATATTCATGTATTTATGGAATTTCCAGACATGGGCAGCCCCATTCAAGTTGTTTTTCAAACTAGTTGCTCAATCTACAAAAAACACCTTCTTTGAATGGCAAAATGTAATTAATGTACGAGTAGTTGGCAGCCACTTGACATCACCATGGTGATTTTCATTCCATTTACGCACACAAGCACAAGGTTGACACTCCACATGTGCTTACCTTTGCGATCTGTGCTATTTCTGATTTTGCCTGTAGCTTCTAACAGCCTAATAGCAGGACTGAAACACTTACTGGGTTGCATTTTCTACCCAGTGAAGCGTATTAATTGTCACTAGATATCACCACCCAGGCACCTTGTATGCAGTTTGCGAGAAAATCAACCTTTTAAGTTCTTGAAAGAACTTCTTGCTAATAGTGACTGTTTATTCCTAATAGCACCACTTATCCTAAGTGCAAGCCTTCTGAGAGCAGCTGGAAGAATTGCTTATATAAGGCTAGCAAGCTCAGGTACATGTTGGTGTGAGTTTGAAATGTTGTGTGCAGTAAAAAAAAAACAAGTTAAAACACTGTGAGCTGGAAAGAGCCCTGCTAGCCATCCTCGCTCTGGTTTGATCCACCAATTGCTTCTCTTGCAGAATAGTTTGGCACCGATTGATAAAAAAGACTATTGATATTTGAATGTTAGAATCAGATATAGGCAAGAATCTGATTGAATGTGAGTCAAGTAGTTCTAAAAATGGCATGGTAACAGGGTTTGAACTTCAAGCATTGGATGATAGACTGCTTCTGAAATATTTGATTCAAAAAGTAAGACAAAAGAACAGACATTTCTATGGGGATGTGGACAGACTTTTCTGCCTGGAATTTACCTAAGAGCACACCAGAGCTAGAACAGGATGGTTAAGCACATCAGCAGAACTTACTGCACTTCCGCAAAACCTGTGTTGTATTGTGCATTAGCAATTTGGCAGGACGTCTTGTTTAAGGCAGTATTTGACACACTATAACTCTTCACATGTTGTGTCAGAAAAGAAATTGTTTGCAACGGGCAAAATTCCAATGCAACATAGACCAAACATCCAACAAAAACCTTGAAAAATATGGTTTCAGGCGCAGTACATTCTGCCGACATGCTGGATGGATCCAGGCTCTAAATACTAGTAAAACAGAACAACTTTAGCACTGGGTGTGCACTTTGCTTACCTGATATTCAGTCCTACGAAATTTGACCAGCTGAAAATGTAGTCTCCACCAAATACCATTCCTAAATACGTTATCAATATATTCTGGAAACAAAACAAAAATAACAGTTAAAAACTACCACTTGTCAAACATACAAAATTCATAAATGCTATTATGAACATGACAGAATAGTAGAATATGGTAACACATTAAACTTAACACCATTGATTATGTAATGTAGTAAGAAAATATTTTACAATACCCATGCTATTGTTTATTATTTATTTGTTTATAGAAAAACACAAATCATAATAGTAACATCAATAAAAACCATACAGGGAAGGCCAGAAACCTGGTGTTTTTACATGGGCTTTCCCCAAAATCTAGAGAATAATTGTGTTACATATATGTATTGTACATATATATTTGTAAGGTTGCAAGCCTGTACCTTAATTGTGCCAACTATAGTTGTTGTGAGTGCAGAGTTGTGGCCTGTACACAGGATAGTGGAGTACATCAGTATGAACCTGGGAACAGGAAACAAAAGTCATCGGTCACTTCATGATCGTCTTTCTGACAAGTACAGCCTTAACCTCTTCATGTCAGCAAGCATCTTATATAATACAACATGCGCATCTTTTTATGGACCTGTGTATGCAGGTTAGTGCAAGTAAAATAGGAGCTGTGCAAGTATTTCTAATGTCTATCTGTACCTAACCTGCACTGGTCCATGTACTGTGTTTATATAATTATACATGTACATGTCCGTGTATGTGGATTTCATTCATTTGTATTGATTGTCATTACCTATGAACTGTAAAAGAAATAATGGTGATAACCTGATATTTTCTGTACAGTTTTTAGTCACAGTGATTCATACTTTCTAAGTGGTGCAGGTAAAATTTGTTTGGTGGAGAAAAGGTATGTAGGGAAAAAAAAGGATTTTGAGCCCTGGAGTAGTAAATGGAAATACTAGAAATAATTTTTTTCAGGATTTGTTCAGCAATTCGGAGAGAGAGAGAAAGAGAAAGAGAGAGAGAGTAGTAAACACAAAATCTCTCAAACAATGCTGACACCATTCAACAAAATAGCCTGATTTTTTCAGTCTGCAAAATTGCAGTTTGCTTTATTTTTCTTCTGCAATATTGAAAATGTTTCTGCAAAATGCATACTTCAGGTGGGTATTTCTAACACTCAAGCTACAGAATAGATAAATTCTGACAGTGTGGCTTTACCCCATGAAGCAGGACATGAAGAACTGTAAGACGAAGAGTGGTTCAGTCCAGCCCTCGAACAACAGCACCTGTCAAACATACACAACACTCGTCAACAAACAAACAAACAAACAAACAAACAAATCAGCAGGCTGACGAAAAGGCTACATTTGTACATTTTTGTATGTGGTGGTCCTGGCAGGTACATGTTATGTTACCAGGCTGGTACATGTAGTACTACAGAAGGGAAAGAGCCCTGAGAAACATCTAACAGTATACCCGTAAATAATTTCATCAGGTTGGAAGATACTTAGGGTATAGAATTTTAGAGTTGCAGAACTCCAGTCAGAAGCTCTGAGGAAGGTGTCTGATAGACATCAAAACGTAAGCAGGTGAGAACCTTACTGGTTGTGTAAGAAGAAAATTCTATACCCTATCTAACAGTATACTTTGAAACACAGTGACCTCAATGAAAAGTATCTTGGAGGATGATTTGAGCTTCTCATAATAAAAAATAATGGTTCAAACAGTGCTGAAGCAGGGGAAAACTTGGAACAATTTGTTTATTTGTTTATTTGAATTTACCACAAGATATACAAGTGGAAGGGAGGACAAAACTGGTGCATTGACACCTTTACAAGTTGTCCTCCCAAACACAACATATAGAATATAAAAGCAGATTACATTATTAAATACAAAACAAATTGCAGTAATGAACAACATTAACATTGTACATCAACATCAAGTATAATACATTAAACATAAAAAACTGTACAATGCAATTTCAAGGTACATGTATATACACATGTTATACATTATTTACAAAAATATCAATGGACAGGTTAAAAACTGTGTGGCAACACCATTTGAAGGAGATGAAAGTAGCAGCACAAGACAGAAAACTCTTGTGCGATGTTTTGATAAACAATACAACACTAGATGTGGGAGAATATACTAAGGTCTAAAACACTGCAATGGCTTCATCCCACCTTTTCAAAGTCTCCAGTGCTGACACAGATGGCCATGGTTGGGAACAGCATGAACAGGGCGTTGTAGAAAAGGAGTCCATATTTTCCTAGCTCCTGTAAAAATAAAGGCAAAAGAAAAACACCCTCAGTCACAATAATGTTGACTCTGTCTAAGACAAGTCCCACCCTATCATCATACAACTAGTCTGACGATTTGAGGTGGGACACAGACACCCATATCAACCACATCAAGGGTCAAGACCACTTGCTAAAAAGTGCTGGTGTGGCCCCAATTGGAACATACTGCCATCATCTGGGACCAACAAAGGCATACAGGCAGTGGAGGCTGTCCAGCGCAGGGCCACCCAAGTGACCCTGAATGACTACCGGCAGACTAGCAACATGACACATACACTACACATGTACATGTAAACAACCTACAGTGGCCCTTTAAATTTCTCTTGGAAAAGAGAAGGAACTTTTGCCTCACCACGTTTTACAACCTACTTCACAACCATATTATAGTATACAATTTAGTGTTACAAACTGACAGTCTACTTAAACCAACCTGTCACCGCCTAAAAGGGTATGGTGAGGGGGATGTGGGGTGTTGTTGTATTAGTAGAAAGCAAATTGTCTCCAAGCTACCCACACTTTTGAGCTCAACAAGTGTGCAATATACATGTACCAGCCAACAATTTAGTTATTTTTGGATTAGTTGGAGTACCATTTCATATGAACCCTCAAGCCAACGAAAACCCTTTGCACCACAGTCGTCCTTCAGTTATAAGTTGTTGTCCCTTAACTATCAAGGAAAAGTCCCTGGAAAAATAGATTTGTTTCATTTATGGGAAATTTAGAGTAGCAGGAAAATTTAACCCAACCACCTCATGATCCTGACTACCACCTAAAGCTGGCTGACAAACCTCATTCACATCCTCCTGGTCCTGTTCCTTTAGCACAAAAAAGCACAAAATCAACCGTTGAAAAAAAAAAAGAAATTCACAAGCAGGCAGAGAAGTACATTTTTTGTGGCAAAGGAGAGTGATGCTATTTAAGTGAATAAAAATTATCTGTTTGCTGAACTTATTGTTACTCCCAGCGAGATAGCAAATAAAGAATAAAACTTGCATTTTTTAAGTTTATAAGAAGGCACCAGGATCATCCTTAAACCCCTGCTTTCTCATTGTATTGTACTGACTGACTGACTGACTATGCATTGATAGGAAGTCTCTTTAGATGCAACTTTTCGGTGCACATCCGTACAGGGCTCGAAATACTGGGTGCATGTGCACCTTAGTGCGCCCAAAATTGGAGCTGTGCACCCAATTCTTTTCTGTGGGTGCACTGGTGCACCCAAATATTTTTGTAGGTATTTTTGTACATATAAAATAATAGTATGCATGATATTCTTGGCATCTAAGCATCAGAAAAATAATAAAATCTTTGTTGTCACAGAGTTCTTGTTTAAGATTTCACAGTTATCTCCCATTTCAGATTCAAGCTTAGAAGAGGAGCAGTAAGATCTGTAATAATTATGTTTTGTTTTATATGGTGCACCCAACAAATTTTTTGTGCACCCAATTTTTAGGTTTTGTGCACCAGTGCACAGTATTCCCAAAAATGTATTTCGAGCCCTGGTGCAGCAAGTGAATCCAGGTGGTGGTAAAGGAAACGGCAAACCCATTTTTGTGTCACCTTGGAGTCCAGTTTCTTCTTGACGTAAACGCCGTTCAGCGCCGTGAAAAGGTCGTTGAGAAGTATGAAGACGTAACCCCTGAGGTCAAAGGCAAGGTCGTTTCTGAGGAGAAAAATGACACAGATTACGTCACACGTACGTTAACTTTGACCAATTTCTGAATCCACAATAATTACCTTACCTTGACACATCAACTATTTGTCCTGTCGCCATGTACGTATACGTATAGTTTAGTACATCAAAATACATAGAATCACATGAAAGACAACGCTATACTACAGGATAACAATCATACCTGACATACAAAACATTATGACCAGAATAAAAGAAATCCATCCATTCATTCCATTATTCATTCATTTGTATACAATGTATTCAACAAACTTTTCAAATGGCTGAACTACTTTTTTTAGACAAGTAGACAAAATCCACAGTTACTGTACTAAAATCATCAAACAATGTATGTAACTCCTTTGACAAATCAATATTAAACACACTTCAAAAACTACATATTAAAACACGAAGACATACTGAGACATGTTTACTTACAAGGCAGCTATAATGGCTCCTATCACCATCAGTACTACTATTGCCTGTACTCTCCTGGAAGCTAGGTGCCTAAAAATCAGGGGAAAAGAAATTATCTTTATTTATCTATTTGTTTCTTCATATATTTCACCAAGGAAACATATCGTCCACTGGTGTTTTTCAAGGTGATCTGGTGGGAAAACCCTAGACATACATGTATGCTATCAGCATTAAATGAAATCAACAATACAAGAATGAACAAAAACATCATGGAAAGCAGAGAGGACATGTTATGATAAAGCACATGTAAGCTGGCTTATGTGCATGTGTGCGATTTTGGCCTCCGGCTTTCCTTTCCATTCAAGAAGATGCTCCTTTAAACAAGAAAAGGAGCTTCTTTTCGACTGCCAGACGTGAGTGAGTTGATTGAAGTGTAAAGTGCCCAAGGGCAAAACACTGGAGCCTGGTAGTTGAAAGGATATCAAATTTTCTGTAACTTCTGTAGGGTACTTTGATATTGATATCATTTCATACACTCATACATGTCATCATTATGTGTTCATCAGACTAGCTGTAGTCCATCAGACTAGCAACATGAGTTCAAAAATAGTAAAATGTAGTAAAATAGGAAGAATAATTGGACAGGTGAGCTTGGCCACAACAGGGTTCAAATGCCTTTGTACGTACATGTAGTTAGTCTGTGGAAAGTTGCTGGGTTCAAGGGAAGGGGAAATTAACCCTCACACAACTGACTCTCCCAGCCAATTATTCTTCCCTTTTGGTGGAATTCTATGCACCATATACCCCTGTAGGAAGGCCTGGTGGAGGCTACATGTATGTTAGCTGTAAGATTTTGGTCTGATACATGTACAACTGCTGTAATGATTCAAATGTCGAACACTTACCCGAGCACCACGTATTCCAGAATCATGGTGAAGAGTATGGAGAATCTACGGAGTACTGTGAACATGGGCAGACTGGGTGGGGGGAGGAACGCACAGAAACACTTTATAAGTTGATTATTAACTACTAGTATATTAAATACAATACTATGCTATACTATACTATACTATATTATATCATACATATAGTCTGTAGATGAATGCAATAAATATTTTGGCTTAAGGGTGAAAAATAAAACCTTAGGTTATACATGTAACTCTGGATAGCCAAATTTCTAAATCACAGTTTGCATGAAAATTTGTGTATCATTCACTGTGTGAGTCTCACATAGACCAGCAGAGCCCCCTATCACATTCTACTTGAACTGCAAATGATGGTTATGGTCATGCAAAATTCATGCTTCCTGTACACCCCAATTAAAGTAATTTTCCACTTTTCAGCTACTTACAGTCCATTAGACTACATGTAGTTCTTCCTGTAAGCATATTAATACATTTCCACAACTATTTAGTATGACCATGCTATGATAACAACTTACTTTAATCTCTTTGTGCTTCCCAGTCCAAATATTAAGTTGCCAATGTATATAAGCGGCAGTGGAAAAGCCTGCAAGACATTAAGGCAAGAGACATGATTGTTGTGTAACCATTTAACTGTTCCTGACAACAAACGTACAGCAAAGTACTAGATGGTGCAAAACATGTAACGGTAATATCTTGCGTAAACAAGAATCTCGTAAGGTGTGTCCTTTCTGAGACAAGTGTAAAGATCCAATTTGTGACACAATGACCTTATTTGTGGAGGACTGAAATACCTTAGCAGCTTTTCTTTCAGACAACATGACAAAAACATCTCCCAGGGAGTGGGGTGAATGTATGGGCTTGTACGTGGGAAGTGAAAACATAGGTTTCTGACAAGTCAGTGTGTTGTTTTGCTTAAGGTCTCGGACCGGAGTTTCCCTCCGTATTTCGAGCAATTTGACACCCTCAGCCCGACGGGCTGTCATTTCTGTACTAAACGCGGGTCGGAATTTTTCACTCTTTTGGTGGAAAGGGGTGCCGTGCCGCTTATCAATACACTTGATTGATAGTTTCTGCGCCCAATTTATTTAGGGGTAAATGAGGCACATCAAAGTACATTTTGAAAAAAGGGGTCATTTTTTTCGTCATTTTTAACCATGGCTGCATGGAAAAAACGAATTTTCCCAGGGTAACGGCTTAGTACTCGAAGAAGCTCAGAACCTAATGTTTCCAAAATTTGAATTTAATTAAAATCGATGCGATAAGTTTATCGCTATCTTCGATGGCCCGAACACACCCAGAACGCATATAGAACGTACCATCCCGGCGGTCAGGCGAAAAGGCCACATAACCATCCGCGCGGACGAATACCAGGAAGTCTTAGCTGGACCACCAACATTACGCCACCTATAAAGGCTACAACTAACAGGCTTTTCAGAAAATACAAAGATATGTACATAGATATTACGATTTCAGGGATATCGCGGCCAAAACATACCATACAAAGTCACGTTTCCGGCGATTTACTGCGCACTTACTTAGACTCTGGTCAGAATTAAACTCCGACCCGGAACCTTAACCAGCCATGAAGCCACCACCGTGAATCTTCAGACAACTCATTACACAAAGTTAATGATCCATACTGAAGTCAATCTTGCATTACATGAAAAGGGCAAATATGCAGATACACTTCAGGCATGTTGTTGTGTCTAGCTTGCGACAAGTAGAGGACATATCTACAAGACATATACCGGTACCTACATGTATTTATTGGCCTCACCAATTCAATTTGCTGGTTCTTCAGTATAAACAAAATGCTACTTATTTATATGTAGCTATAAGATCAACCTGGCAGGGCCTAAGAGCAAAATGGCTTGATGCACTCCAGCAAATATATAGTCTGGTATCTAAACCTATTAGCTGATGGCTCTCTTTTGTCCCTTTTGCAAATCTTTTCATGCAGAGAGGACAAAAGACACTCAGAAGTTATCATAAGTGTGGTACCAGGATATTTATCTTTTTATCTATTGATCTTAAAAACGGTTGGGTGGTACCTTCAGGTTAGGACAACTCATTTCCAAGGTAGCCCAGGATAGTGAATATACAATGTACAATAGGTCCTAGTCTCCCTACCAGCCCTCTGTTTTTATCTTGTCATCTTCTTTATATTTCACGGTGGCAAATGTGTACTTTAAAGGAAAATAAATGTGTGTGGTCTGGAGGAAAACATCACTGGATCCTTTTAATATTTACCGTATATTACTTACTTTTCTAGGAATGTCCCTGTTCCAGTCTGGAAACTTGACTATACTGAGTTTCTTGGCACTGTACATAACAACAATGGTGGCCACCATCTGAAACAACATTATTAACAACATGATATTCTTAGGTCCTTAGTTTATATAAACATTGTGACTATATATATATATTTACTTTGAACATAATATGGGTTAACACTTTGACTTTACCATATGCACTCAGAAAAACATTACCCTATGTGTAGGTCACAGGAAAAATTTCTCTCAAGAGAATGATCTGTGTCTCCAAGACTCCAACCACGTAAGTTTCTACATTTGTTGTATATGTTTACTTTAACATATGCACTCAGAAAAAATCCCATACATGTAGGTGACACTTAGGACATGATCTGCCTCAAAACAATGTTTTCTATCTAACTTGAACCATGTAAGTGTCCACATGTATGTTTGCATTGGCCAGGACCTTTATAATTTGATCCAGGAGATCACCACCTCATGCTGACCCAGAATGTACACAGAACTATCCTTTACATGCCACAAATAGAACTGGCATTCTATATAGTACCACTCTCACTTGTTTGCAACTCTGGTTGCCAGTAGCCATTCTGTTCAACCTTGGCTCTATTTTTACCTTGGGAAATTTCAGCTATGATTTTGTCAATTCAAATTTTAACTATGTTTTATTGTCTGTAAAATCAATGTCAACTTTATCAATATCTTTTATAAGTTAAACCTCCTTGGTAAAATCTTACCTGACCAAGCCCCAAGAACTGGAAACTTGGAAACCTGCAGTGAAAACAAAGAAACCTTGTTATGTATATGATTATGAGAAATATCTACAAGGCATATATACAATGTCACCACTTTATGTATGATAAATACAAATAACACAATTAATATCAATGTAGAAAAAGTCTTAAAACATCATAAGTCTTAAACACAGTCAACAGAGCTAAAACCAGTTTTTCATAGAATCATAGAATCAATCATTTTTCTTTTTCATACAAAGTCATAAGAGCAATAGATGTAATAGTATATACATGTATACTATCAGACTTGCCTGGACTGTGACCTACTTAACATACCCTACTGAAGGTATGCCACACAACACAGGTCCTGTTCTCATGTCGAACATCCTTTCTACAAACACACAGAGCAAACCAGGGTGTGGCATCTAAACAATCCTCCCTAAGACTAAGACTGTATATCAACCAGCAGGGTTGAGTTGTATTGAATCATCTGTGGTCGCGCTATGACAGAAAACTGCAGAGTTTTCATGTACTAGTATCGTTTTCATCACTTCCATGAACCCAGATTACATGCCTGTTTTCACTAAGTGTTTGCAGGTCCAGTTTTACTAGTTGGTTTGTAAACAGGATTGATCACCCTTAAGAGAGTTAATGTGGAACATATGGTCGGTGACCTGAAGCCAGAGCTTTAAGACTATGCATAGAACAGTTGTCATAGTCATACTACTTGGTATGTACTTAACCTATCTGCGAGGTTACAATTTTATCTACCACTTAGAAAATTGTGCAGCAGCACCCACCCCCCTCTTTTTATGCACAGTTTATATGCTGAAGAGGATTATACTGGGGGACATTTTTTCAAGAATTTGGTGGGACTGTATAATGTGTATTACTATTAGATAGGGCATATACATAGTTAGGGTAAATGTACTGTAAAATCTGACCAATTCACATAAAATGTCGACTCGCCAATACAATAATTCCCCTGGGTATCCTAACAACACTTCATTCAAAAAAGGTATTACTAGTATTGAAGCCTTCTGAAAAATTTCTTGAACACCTGGCTATCTAAATTGTCCATACCTGATTTATGGATTACCAATACATATGTGTGTCAGACCTAGGGTACTTACTGGAATTATGAAAGTTGATGAACTAAGTAATTGCTGCATTTGTTTGTTCAGATTTACTTGTATGGGCAACTGTGATCTGACTGGCGGCCAAACACCCTAGCGTGGAAACCCATTTAACTTAATTTTAAGCTGCTAAACCTCTTTTGCAAGATTCAGCTGCTAAAAATAATAGGCTTCAACACCAAGCTACTAAAGCCAAGCTTTTAAAACAAGATATAAAAGGATTAATTTGCCACAATAGATCCTATGTGAAAAACAAAATTAGGTAAATGCGTCTGACCTTTAAAGCTATAACCAACTTAGAAGTTATTGTCAGGAGGAGTTAAACTATTTACATCTTGGCTGGGAAATCGGGAAGCCCCCATAACAAACGGGTGAATCAGTGTTTACAAAACAATGCACAGGGCGGATGGGAAGTGTAGTCACTGCACATTAACGTCCTGAGTACTAATTACGTTGACCAAAAAAGGGAACATATTGGGTGCCTAAAACGACTACATAATTTAACAATTACATGTTTCCAAAAGTTTAAAACAAAGATATTGTCTTCTGAATTTAGTACAATTCTGTGCGAAATTTTCCCTGGCAAACGTTTAGATCTAGACTTCGGCATGTTAAAGCTATCAACACAAAATGATGGATGATCTTTACTTTAGGTGCAGACTAGTAACACAACTCACTGGTAGGTCGTTAGAACACTCTTGTTCACCACGACTATCATGAAGGAAGAAAACCCGTAAAACAGAGCCGTAGCGAGCCGCAGCAGGACGGAAGAACTGCCCGGGCCGGTCCCGCCCCCAGTATTCATCGTTTGGTTCGCTAGAGCTCACAACAGCTGGCTGGAGAATGAGCAACAAAACTCGCCGCACGTATGACTTGTCGCCATTTTGTTTTGGAGTGGAGGTCAGAGGTTACCGCAAGGGCGGGAAATTTGACGGTGGAATGACCCATTTCAAAACATTTCAGGGGGGTGCCGATTTTCAAATGCTGCAAAAACTTTAATATATCTCCTTGCATTTTCAATGATTTATAACAAAATGTAAGAGGTTGTGATTCTATTATCTCATACGATAAGAAATACTAGTTCTAAATGCTTCTGATGCTGCATACATGTCCGTAAAATGTGTTCCCATTAACTCCATACATAACTTCTTGGTGCCTGTCCTTGGTGCTGACGGTGCTTTCTCTATGGCTAAACAAATACTCAAACATAACGCTTCAACTTTGAAGTTCAAGGTCTTTGCTTTATCATCTCCTTATGTCGTGATATCTGACATACTAACAGCAATTGTGTCTAGTTGAGGTTAGAAATTGATTTGGACACCGATTATTGATCGATAAAATCCATCGAGAGAAAGAGATAGACAGACAGAGACAGACAGGGAGTGGGGACAGAAAACGGCGTAACGTTATATGATAAGCCACAGCCTGCTTGGAGAGTACACTCGGTCTCCTCGGCGTCATTTCCTGGCCCGTTCCCAACTGCCCGGTACCCTGAATTCATGCACACGGTTGGAAACCTGGCAACTTTCCAAATCAAATGTCCCCTGACGAACCGACTTCCGGCTGACTTCTTGTAAAGTTCATGTCATGACGTCAGTTGAATAACAAAAACACTCTCTGAAGACCACGTGCGTCCTTGTACATACTGTATCCTGCTGTTGTTTTTTACGTTATCTGCTTGTAAAACAGCTCATTTCCGCCGCACTTCTGAACCCACCACACCATTCTGTATATAAGGATGAAAATTTGTTCCGCTCTCACAAACCACGCCACTTTCCTACGCTGTTCATCATAGCGACCAAGAAACGCCCGAGAAGAGATCCAGAGATGAACACCTCCGTGGTAGCCATACTTCTTACACTGTTAGTTGCAGGTGAGTTCAGGAAATAGCTATTGTGTATTGACTGTGTTCAGGAAACAATAAGATGGAGAATTGGTTAATGTGTTTATTGTATGAGGCTGTATGGGGCTCTAATCTCAAAGCATAAGAGGAAAGCACCATGATCTTTTTCTTCAAATTTTCCCTTTAAAATTAAAGTCTACACTAACTTCAAAGAAAGAACGTTTCGTTAGCCTCCTGTCTAGACTTTCTAGCGGCCAGCATTTTTTTTTTTTTTTTCGGGGAGAGAGCTGTATATGGCGGAGGGGTAACGTTATATAGGCTGGCCGCTAGAAAGTCTGTGGAATAGGCTACGTTTTCCCCACATTATTTCTACATACGTTTTTCTTCTGTTGGTGACAAATATACATTTTTTCCTTGCTGACAGCTTTCCTCTCGCCGTCTGTTGAGGGCCGTGTGGTGCCTGGCCTGGGCGGACAGTTCGAGAGGTGTCCGCGGTACTGTATACAAGTGTACGACCCCGTGTGCGGCAGCGACGGTAACCAATACAGCAACAGCTGCTTTCTGGGGATCGCCCAGTGTAGGAAGTGAGTATGGAATATGATGATATGTTGTCTATAGACTAAGTTAAACATAACTTTGAGTACGTGCGTTTGGCTCTTGTCTAGGATACAATAAACCCAACCATGAGAACTAAACCTCTTTTCTTTACTGTTCCCCTCTCCAGCCCCTCCTTGCGTCGAGCGCCCGACCACGTGTGCGGACTGGACGGCGAACTGATGTAAACAGGAAGAACGTAATCTCCAAGCAGATGTTGGATGGCAGTAATCGGGTGTCATCTCGCTACCACCGACCTTCTGTATATGCTGACTGTGCTTCCCTCGCCAATCAAGACGTTTTCTTTGCACACTTGAACTTTCAATTTTGTATCAAAATATATCTTTATCACTCTTATTTGTACAGACACAAACGCCGATACTAACAGATCCCTCAGTCTCGTCTGTTATCTGTGACTATCATACATTACTTATGTAACGAATTTTAATTACAACGTCTTTAATAAAAAATCTGTTATGTAAATAAAGCTTTTGATACAAATACTGAGTTTGTCATCACACGAAGTACTATTTTATACTGTACAGACAAATAGTTTGCGAACCAACAAATTGGTTAACCGCGTTCTACAATATGAATATCTGCCTTCCTATCAAAGCTCATATATAGCTCTTGTACAATTATACTCGTACCTTTGGTGTACGTCCTAAGAAAGTTGATAAAAGTGAAATGTCTAGAAATGTAACTTCATATTCAGTTATTCTATGGGCCCTTATTCTGATCTTTAGCCACACAGAAAACGTACAGTCCAAATAGCAGGGAGACAAAGGTCAAAGGTAGACTGAGGACAAACATACCTCCTCACGTAGAACTAACACGGAAGTCCCCACATGACGTCACTCAGTGCCATGAGATAAGCGGGTTACTGCCCTGAGCTTGTTAATCGATATACACACGTCGTTTTGCAACCAAATAATTGATCAACCGAGGCTAGCTAACCCTTCACATTTTCTTGGCATACACAATGATTAACACATGCACAGTTGTATAACGGGTACATTTCTTTACTCTCCAAGCAGAGGTTTGTGGGAACGATTGATATGCCTTTAATTTTTCTGTCGCTACACAGTTGGTGGGGGTAGCGAGAAAAAAACGGGCACCTCTATTTGGAGAGTAACATTTCTTGACAGTGGCGACGCACACAAACTACTCTGTCAGCTAATCTCCAAGCAGATCCTACGGTGGCAAGACTGTAACCATTGACCAAAGGAGTTTCCATTACCCACCAATGACCACCCATTTGGCGAATGACCACCCATTTGGCCCTTCCACCGTAGGATCATGGGCGATAGGCCACCGAGTTTTTGTTGAGATTGCTAGCTGTTGCTTTATTTATATACCTGAGTAATCGAACACACGTAACTCCGTACTCATACACTCATACACTGAACATACACTGAACACAATTAACTCGGTCCTTTGAAACTTGAAAGATTCCCGACGGAATCATACACTGAACACAAACACCATGATTATGCAAAACAATCAAGTTATAATTATAAAATAGTTTTAATGGTTTACAAAACAATACAGATTTCAATAAAACCTCGATGGCCTACCACCTGTGGTAGGATCTGCTTGGAGATTACGGTCAGCTCGTGAGGATTCCAAGAAAGCGGAACTGTCCGCAGTGTCCAGTTTAGTAGGATAAAGAACACGTCATCACACTGGAGATCTGGAGCGGAAATACAGGAGTCACAAATTTACAATATCCTGTTTTTCACCTGGGTCCATCTTGCAAACACAACCAGTTCCGCCTCACTTCCAAAACCCGCTACCGTGTCTGTATATAAGGTAGGAAACTCTGCTAGTAGTTTACAACAACTCTAACTCATCAAACGGACGGAGAGGAGTACTTTTCAACCAGACCGAGAATGAAGACTGCCATGGTTGTTCTGTTCGCTGGGTTGGTGATAGCCGGTAAGTTAGCAGGCTCTATTTATCTTTTATACTGTCCACGATCATAAAAGCCCGTGTAATATTTCTGCGACGATATCGCTGTACCTCGAAGGTTTGAGAATAGAAGATAGAAGAGAAGAGGAAGAACGTTTTTTTTTATAAAATCTACAACGTGCGGAAAGATCGTCACGAATTCGAAAAACCCTCAATTGTAAGTACACCATATGATATATGTGACCGGGGCTTAATTACCTTCGCTAAGCAGGTTCGTTCAATGATGTTTTCGTTAGCGTACGCGCGTGTCTAAACGACAACTAGGGAAGGCTTAGATGAATTGTCTTGATATTCGGTAGGTAGAGATAAGTGTTGATAAGACCTTGAAATGGTCAGATTTTTAGCCCCCTGGCGGCTTGTTGTAGTTCCGTTTTTGATATGCTGGACATGACTTGCTGGACATGACATGCTAGACTGGACATGCTAGCTTGGTTGCGAATGTTACATGGTGAATATTGTGATAGTCCCCTCGTAGCGGGCATAATTCTTATAACGCTACATGCCCTTTTCTATCCTCAGTTGCCCTCTTGTCGTCTGCGGAGGGCCGCAGTTTGTCCAGACGACCGCCAAGCGTGGATCTGCGAGACTGCCCGCTCCTCTGTCCTGCTGTCTACTCCCCGGTCTGTGGCAGCAATGGTCAAGTCTACAGTAACCTCTGCCATCTCAACGTCGCCAAGTGCCTAACAGCAGAGTACGTGTGTGAATAATTATGGATATCCTTCTGTGGGCATGTGTCAAAGGCTCCTCCATACCAAATTTCAGGTCATTTTGTTTTCATATTAGGGCACTGGAGCAAAAAATGTACATTTTTGGTAAAAGAAATGATCTGAGTCGATAGAAATTCACTTCTCATGGGGCCTGTATTAAATTTAACAGATGTTTACACGTACAGAATAGTAACCCATATACTTCTTTAGATTTGAAACATGTTTATACGGACATAATAGTAACCCATATACTTCTTTAGATTTGAAACATGTTTATACGGACAGAATAGTAACCCAGTATCTTCTTTCACAGCCCAAATCTTACGGAAGCTCCATTTTCCGAATGTGACTCTGGCCTGGATCTTGGCTGGAGGGCGCCGTCCTGAAGCGAGGCTACGCACATATGACGACAAAACACCCTGGAACTTACATCTAATCTACTTGATCGAGTGATTGTTCTCTGCTTATACCAGCCAACTTTTGTATGTCATGTATTTTGGACGATTTCTACCATGTAAATACCGAGTCTTGGTGAAGGTGATGTAACAGAAAGTTATGTACACATGTAACTAACTAGAATCAGCAGTTTCGATGGAACCAGTTTTTCGATAGAATTATATTCGATAGAATCAGTAGTTACAGAAGTAAGGATGCTGCCATTCAATCGTACAGTGAATGATTTTTGCGAGCGCTAACGTTATAGAATTAAAAAGTCATTTGTCTGCGTCTGAAAAATGAAATATTCAATGTAATAATGACCAAACAACACTAATAAATTATGCGACATCAGAAAGCCTTGCGTGCGTTAGTCGTACTTTATTCACCCCGTGCATTTTTCTCTATCCGGCTTGTTTGAGGGGATATACGCTAAAGCCGGATAGGGTACACTATTTCATCCCATGCACATTTACTCTTCTAATACTTTTGTACAGATGCACAGACCAAGAACAAGCAAAGTGGCGGAATGTATGGTACTTCTTGAGTGTCTAGTGAAACATTGCAATATTCATGTTCAAAGCAAGAAAAAGTTTTAGTTTATAATATTCTTTGCTGCTGTCGCTGCTCAGATAAGTGAGTCAATGATCAGTGTCCTATAGAACGACTAGGATAGAAGCAATGCACAAAAGACTAGAAAAAGGGTATAAAAGCCTCTGACCTGGAACCTTATATCGGAGAGAGAGAGAGAGAGAGAGAGAGAGAGAAAGAGAGAGAGAGAGAGAAAATGTACAGGCATTGTACAATGGATCATTTGTAAATATCATAAAGATCATTGTGAGACTGGCAGAAACATGCTTTTGGAAACAGTTACCACAATCTTGACGAAATTTCTCCATCTAAAAAACCTTCACACAAAAAATCTCTATAAGCATCACAAAACTCATTCATTACATTAAAAATGGGACTACTGAATAGTCCCTGCCTCTAAAAAGAACTAAGTAATGTAACGTTATGAAGAAACATCAATAGAAAAGATAAGTCGATTGGAAACACGTCATGACAATCTATGGTAACCATCAGATTGAACTCCGGAACAATCAGCTACTAGTATCAGTGTCATACCAGGATTGGGTTCTCTGTCAATATTGTATGCTGAATTCACGTGTAAAATCTGTGCAGTAAACTTTGACTTGAGTATCAAGAGGGACTTTGTCCCCTATCAAGTAGTTGCCATCAAGCTTCTATGGGACCAATTCTTAGGTGGGTCGCTAGGGGGCGCGATTTCATCAAGCTAGATGGCTAACCACAAACAGGCAGTCCGCAGAATTCCCATCTCTGGCCACGGTCCATTGTGTAGCACCATGGCCCTCCGGGGTCTTTTAGTTTATCCGGCTTTCTGCAATAGTTCTTGTGCAGCATCACGTTTGGTGGCCAAAATTTGGGTAAGTGGGGAACCGGCATGACCCAGTGCTGACATTTCCGACCAGAGGCCGTCACATCGGCGGTTCCTCTGTAGGCATTCCCACTGCCGGTGTAGCAGTCATCTTCACCGCCTAGCAAGGAAGGAAGATGTTGGAAGAGATATAATTGCTACATAATCTAGTCTTCTTACTTACTTAGACTTAGTTCCTCCCGTGCAAGGCACATCTAGTCTTCACAAGACCTATTTGTAAACGGAAAGAAAGCCGAATTTAGTCTATAAGCTATGCACGTCTATATCTATTTCTTTACAAAGAATGGTGATTGCAGAAGGGGGCTATTACACATTGGTGTCAAATTCATGGCAGTTATAATACCTGATGTAAAAGTACAATAATGTGACATTACCTCTACGCCTGTGGCATCCATTGTTGTCACCGGGACCTGAAAAAATTGAGATCGTGCCTTATTAATCAAACAACACAGATTTAGTATACTACGAAAATATAATCAGACAAAATGCAGATGTAAAATAATTAAAAGCAGAAAGCGGATACAAAAGGAACTCTCACAAATTAATGGTACACAAATACCTTTTTGGCAGATGAAATATTCCTTCTGTTCACAGCCGTCATCCTTCCATTTAAAGCCATGAGATGACGAAAGTTGAGCACAATCAGTAGGGTGTTTAGGGTGCGGATGTCGCGGAGCCCAGTTGATGTAGTCACAGTCACGGATGTCTGTTCCATCGGTCCACTTCCAGTTACGTTTCCCTTCAAGCTATATACAGTGATCATTATTAATTCTCTAATTTATCAATACAAACAATGTAGGCAGCGGAAGACATGGTGAATGATTCCTTACAATTATGTACAGGTAATATACATTGGTGCAAAAAAGCATTACAGAAGAGTACTATTATAGCAGTGTGGGAGTTGCACACCACCATTACAAGTGGCCCATGGGTTGTAGACACCGCCTTTACACAGAGAAAGGAGGTGTGGAATGGATCTTGACGTTTATGTACTAGTAACTAACTTACCTGGAGGCCTATCCAGTAGTCTCTGTATTTATTGACGTCCGACACCATCTCCACCAGGAAGCGCTGTAGTGCTGGTGTCTTGACGTCCACCAGATGTCCCCCGTCCGCTGCACACGCTCGCTGGGCGTCTTGGTGCGTCTTGGGTTCGGGGTACACCTTGTACAGCGTGTCGCCTCGGCGTTGGTACCTGGTCTCACCTGTCGTACACATTAAAGTTCGAATATATGTATTGTTATCTGATGTCCCTTGTGTTGTAGCTGTGTATATATGTAACGTATTTGTTATCCTCTATGTAGACTAACTTTTATCAGCTTTTGCTGCCTGTAAGTCTGTGTAATGTGTTGTTTGCATTTGAAATAAATAAAATAAAATAAGGTTCAAATTTCTTATGGAACTAGACTAACCATTGTGTTATAAGCTCCATACATATGCAACTGTTTTAAGAAACTGAATAAAAACACTCCTCATATTTACCCAACTATATTAAGTGTTTTATCTAGAAGACGGATGAATAAAACACTTTGGTTGGGTAAGAATAGAGTCTTGCTTACGTTTGTCACAGTTTCGCCCCTCGTATCCCGGGTGACATGTACAGGTGTAGGTTTTGGTTCCATCAACACAGCTGCCGTGCAGACAAGGCTTCAAGGCACAAGCTGTAAAAAAACGACACAAGAAAATAGACATAAAAGGCCGATTAACCTAACTCATAATCATGCGGCTTGTCCTGAAGTCATTGAGCCTTTGACAAAAGATACACTCTCTGCCTGAGGTGTTTCTCTTAGTGTCACTGACGAAAGGTAGTGGATGCTACCTGAAACGTCTGACCGTCTCCAAAATCTTGTCCAGTTGCTTGAATAACTGCTTTTTGGCGTATTTATTTCCTGGATGTCTAGCCTTTACCGACGTATCTGCCTGAGGTCTTGAAAAACTGTCCAGGTCAAATATCTTCACTGGCTTCCACACCTACCGGGAACATACTATTAGGTAAGAACATAAGTAATGTAAAAATAAAGAATCTAAACATATACACACACTTACATATTCGTTCTTCGTTGCAGCCTAAAATCTCCACCCGCATACTGATCCAGCCAATCCAGGACCAAGGCCAGAAACGCACGTAACGAGCAACAACCGGGGTGTCCAGTAGGTTGGTAACTGGGGTGTTCTTGTCACTGTTGCCTGGAAAGACCTGCAAGATAAATGAATATTTCGTATGTAAAAAAAGGGAGAGGGAGAAAGAGGGGGAGAGAGACAGAGACAGAGAGACACAGAGAGAGAGAGAGAGACGGAGAGGGAGAGAGACAGACAGAGAGACAGAGACAGACATTCCAGTTTTCATCGAAGTAAACAGAGCCATACACCAGACACACCTTTTCGCTGCCATCCTTGCCTGCGTAGGTAACCCAACCCTTGCCATCGGCGCTGTACTGCAGTTTGTAGGATTTCACATACTGGGTGCGGTCGTCTTTGTGCCGTCCCTGGATGACGGTGCCTGAGACTCGCTTGGCCTCTCCTAGGTCCACCTGTGAAACAGTGAATCAATTACCCTCGTAGGACCGTATCTGTGCGCGTGTGTGTGTTTATCGGTGTGTGTGTGTGTGTATGTGTGTGTGTATGTGTGTATATATGTGTGTGTGTGTGTGTATGTGTGTATATATATGTGTGTGCAGTGTGTGTATGTGTGTGTGTGTGTGTGTGTGCTGTTGAGTATGCGTTTCTACATGTATATAAACTCTGTCTATAAACTATGTTTGAACCAGATCATAATAAAATAGAGGAAATAGATGATAAATGATAATGATCCATCAGCTTCTGTCTGATACTGTACTTCACGCTTTTTAACAGAAAAGTTGTAAGTCGGGCCACAACTATAGCCATATTACAGGAATCACCACAAATTTCATACCAACCTGCAGCCACTGGTCCTTTCGGCGGAAGAACGCAGCTGACCAGGCGCCTTCCCCGGCCACTCCGTTCAGCCGAGCGCGGTAGGGTTCCCCGTAATAGGAGGAGGACGCGGTGATGCTTCCGTCCGGGATGGCACCTGACTCCATTCCGAGTGGTTCATGGCAGGCTGCAGCTGAGGGGACACAAAACACTCTGTTACTTCCCGTGCGGTTGTGTGGCGTAGCGGCAGAGTGCTCGACTTGGAACCAAGAGGTCCCGAGTTCGAGTCCTGACATGCCACCGATCTTGGGCCCTTGGGAAAGGCACTTTACAGGACTTTCCTCACTTTAATAACTCAGGTGAAAATGAGTATTGTATTGTCGTCTGTGTCGGTGGCGGCATTAATATAAGTTGTGATTACATGTTGGAACATAAAAAAAAGTTACGTTCGGCTGAGCTGCAAGGGTTGTATGGTGTGTGTGTGTGTGTGTCTTTCTGTGTGTGTGTGTGTGTGTGTGCGCGCGCGCGCGTGTGTGTGTGAGTGTGTGTGTGTGTGCGCGTGTGTGTTTTGCTGTCTTCTAAGTCATACACTTACACCGTGCGTTAAATTCCTATCATAATACCAAGGGTCACGCAAGTCCAACTTTGGTTACTCGAGGGACCGATGTGAAGTGGGAAGGGACTTAAAAATTGAGGAAAATTGCTGAACACTTTAATAACCGTGTGCCTACCTGTACCTGTGATGCAGCGGTATGATATCACCAAGTACTTTTGAACCAAGGGACAGGGGTCACCGAAAACGTCATTACTCGCTAACACTGAGCAGTGGTGTTTGCCCTGACAGGCGGCCCTAACGACGTCCAGGCTGACGTCCGAGCGGCAGTCGGTTCTACCGATCCACCAGGAACAGGAGTGGGAGGAGGTGGCCGTCCTGCCATAGGTCGCGTCCACGATGAAGAGAGTCTTTCCGTCCAAGCAAGACAGCTGTAGGGTGCCATGCTCGCAGGAGAAGGCTGTTTCTCTGTCACCGTCTGTGTAAAATGAGACAGAGAGCACCAAAAGCATATATTCAAGTGACTGGATATGATTTTGGAAACGGTCAGACGTTTCAGGTAGCATTCACTACCTTTCGTCAGTGACTGAGAGACCAGAGGAGAAATGCAGTTTTATAAGCACAAACTATTAATTGCTAGAGATAGAGAGCAGTCAAAGATCGCCCTAGGCCATAACCTTTCACATCATACCATCCAGGTTGTCATGAAAGCATTATGAGCCTCTATCTGTGACAGAAGAGAAACTGTATGCCTGGGGTTTGTAAAAGAATTGTCCAGGTCAAATCTCCACAAACACTGGCTTCCACACCAAAGGAAAATATACATACATACAAAGAAACACCTACCTACAAACCCAGGAATATTGTGTGCATCTAACTTTAACCTCTACGTGGTCTAAAATTCTACCGATGCGAAAGATTAATGATGTTTGGTGCATCAGAAAATGTAGGCACACATTATATGATATAGCTGCTTTTCCTACCTTCCACATGCGTTGTCCGTAATGGCGTACTTGCGAAGGCCGTCGTCGGTTCATGGTGGGTCGTCGCAAGGCTTGTTGTGGCCAGGCTTGTTGTCGCAAGGCTTGTTTTGTCTCCATAATCTGCGTAGACAGTCAAACCTTTCATGATAAGGTCATGTCAGGAGACAGCAAGAAGAGTCAAGTGCTACCCCCTAAATTTTGTAAAGGTTCTGATTCTACTGGTTTACTCCTGGTACCGATGGGGACGTAAGTACAGTGAGAAGACCAGATACGGTAGTGCCCATTGTTTGTGTAGATGAAAGGAAAGGAAATTACATAGAGGTAGGAAACACTAGCTAACATGTACGCTTACAGGTCTTACCGTCACACGGAGGCACGTCACAGTAATCCCAGGTGGTGTTGGGATCCGTAGTGTAGCACCACACTCCGGATTCGCCGTCTGGATTCCGGCAGTAGTTCTGCTCCAGTCCGGATGCCGGATGGTTAGCGGCTGTCCTGGTGTGTCCGTGGGGCGTCTGACTGTCCCAGCGCTGACAGCTCTTACCTTTTTTTTATTGAAACATACAATGACAAGACGTGGTGGTGACACACTCAAGTTACACTTATATTCATGTCGCCACCAGACAATACGTAATACAAGCAAGCAAAGCACGAGTTTTTATATAGAAGTTGAATACAATAATCATCATGAAAGATCATCCAAGTCAGTAATAATCATCTAAAAGATCATCCAAGTCAGTAATAAAGCCAATCAGCGTTTTCAAGTTGCCAAAAAGGGTATTTCGTTGCTGAGTGTAGTTAGGGCAGTCTTACAAAACAGGTCTTACCCCTCTTGGTCGCAGAGACAGTTCCGCGGTAGGTTGTCCCATCTCCCACCTGGCAGCTGTAGGTTTCTGGTGGATCGGTGTGGGGTGGGGGGACAGTGCTTGCGGAAGTGGTCAGGTCATGATCAGGGCGTTTTGGTGCAACTCGGGTTGTGGACAGTCGTCTGTATCCAGAATCTGTGTTACACATTCAAACGATCGTTGATGAGTCAATGTCAATAAACAGAAACAAACTGCAGTTAGTAAACAACATGATAGCTGTTGGATTGATTGAATTTTACTCAGCTATGCATGTACATTCTACCATTCAACATTGTGCATGACTAGCAGGATTTGCATTACTACCTTCAGGTTGCTTCCGCTAAGCCAATATAATACTAACATTATATACTAACTTGTCAAGCAAAGTAAAAGGAGCCCGCATATTTGATATGCCTACCTTTCGTCGACTTCAACGGCAATGATGTGGTCTGGAAAGTTGTCACCCAGTTGTTCACAGCTTGAGTCGTCGTGGAATGTCGCTGTTCTTTGGCGCGAATCGGTGTGAAGATTCGAATCTGTTTGGCGTCAGTCGGTTTGGTGAGTCGTTTCTCGTTGGATCGAGTCGGGGTGTAGAGTCGTTGCAGGTCGGGTCGAATCGTCGTGAAGAGTCGTGCCTCGTCGGTGTGGTTGATCGTGCTGAACCATTCCTCGTCGGTGTGAGTGGACCTGTACGGTGTAAGAATATTGGACACTGAACAAGGCTATTTGGGGAGAGGTGTGAAAGAGGTTATTTACATCAGGGCCCACCACCCTTCACTTAATCGGGACGGGGGCCGACAGGGTCTACCAGATATCTTTGACCCAGTGTTGAGGTCACACTTCAAAGAAGCCACGTGACAAGCCCCACTGGATCAGTCTACTGAGGAAGACCAGAGTGACAGGTGGAAATCTGTAGGTGAGAGAACTTTTTTGTGTTGGATA